TGCCAAGGTTTCCCACACTAGGTCCTCCTCGCGTTCGAATACACCTCTCAAAACCGGCAGGAGGTTGATGGCGTACATTCTACAAAGAGCGGGGGGATAATATGGAATAAGAAACGATGAAGACAGTCATGGGAAGTGATCAGTGCGCGTAGGCGTCAGAAGGATGCGGAGCGTTTCACGCTTCTGTTAAATCATGAGACGCTGGCAAGTCCGGTTTTCATGGATATGACCGAGTGCATAAAGGAATACGGTGAGTTTATCATTCCTCTCTCAGACTCGCAGAAATAATACCACACAAAATCCATGCAGCGGTTATTTGTACCAAAAAAACAACGCTACTTACAGTTTATTAATACTATTTTAAAAGTGACCATTTTTAAGCCTACGTGTAAAAATTTTAATGCGCACCGGCATGTAAACAATAGGGTTTTCAAGGGCATTGCCTATTACCATCACTAAATAAACTGAAAAGGTCACGTGGCGACTAGTGGTTAAATTTTGCTGGCGAAGACCAAGGAGACTGCAATGGTCTTGGTCGGCTATTTGGTCATTAACCAGGTCGAATTAGCCATTCAGTTTCAAACGGTACCAGGACAGTAGGCCCACTAACTGCCTGGTTCACTCTTCCTGGACACCGCGGGCATTTTAACAAAATCCCTCGGAATTAAACCTGCTTATGGCTGTCACGACAAAGTTATTTACTCTGGTTTAAGGATATTACTGGCAGCATGTTCGCTTGTGAAATGTAATTGCAAATTCAAGCGAAAATGTGAGTCACGGGAGTTATAATTGAGAAGAAACAGATATGATCGCTGAGCTAAAACTTTTATTCGTCTGACGTTTCGAAATCCTTGATGATGGACCCGCGACGAAAAAAAACCTATTGTCCCAGCGGTGATCACATCTGCTTCTCCTCCTTCGTGATAAGTTGAATTGCTCGTACCTTCGTTTCTTGGGATTGACTTTGTGTACACAGGCTGCAAATTTCTTCATTGCGACAGATAATGCGCGTTTGGATCGGTTCCGTTTCATTTCAATGAAAAATTCGCAGATAACGTGCTGCGTGAGGTAGACATCTGAAAGCTGAAAAGACAGACAGACATTTGACGGTCAGTGGGCCGCCTGGCTAAATGGTTAGGGTATTAGACAAATAGAGGGTGCAAAACCCGGCTGTCTGACGACAGCTAATAGGCCGCAGAAATGATCATTGCGGTCTGTATTATCTTTGCCAGTCCATAATACTCGAGAGTGAGCCAACGGTAGCAGTGAGTCCTGTAACCGATCGGTCAGCGCCTATCTGCCGTCGTTCTT